ATTTGGGGTCTCACCGACGAGGCTGAGGCGGGGCACCGCGTACATGTCCTTGTCAGCGATGCCCAGGGCAGGGGCTGGGGGCACTTTGCCATCTGGGGGCACCTCTGGGGCCATGGGGCACCTCTGGATGAAGTGGGTGTCTGCCAGGCGCACAAAGGTGTTGGACACCTCGGCGTAGTCCATGGATTTCCCGTCTGGTGGGAGGAGACACACGGGGGGTGGTGTGGGATGGGGCTGAGGCTCAGGAGAACGTGGTCATGGTGTCCTCAGTGCCACCACAAACGTTCACAAACCCAAATAAAGCCCTGCTGTTAAAGGAGCTTCCCGCCCTCCATGGTCTCAGTGGGCAATCGGCCACCCTGGCCACTGCAGAGCTCATGGGAAGATGCCCATGACCCCCACAGAACACCCTACAGCATCTCTGATCCCATTGACCATTCATCACTCCCAAACCCCATTTTTTGAGTTTCTCTCCCACCTTCCATGGTCTCGGTGAGGCAATCAGCCACCCCACAGTATCTCTGATCCCATTCCCCATTCACCACTCCCAAATCCCATTTTTTGGGATGAAGGTGCCTCCTTCCCACCTTCCATGGTCTCAGTGGGGCAATCGGCCACCCCACAGTATCTCTGATCCCATTGACCATTCACCATTCCCAAATCCAATTTTTTTGTGAATGGTGAATTAGGAAGGTGCCTATCTATGATCCCATTCCCCACTCCCAGATCCCATTTTCCTGAGCTTCTCTCGCACCTTCCATGGTCTCGGTGAGGCGATCGGCCACCCCACAGTATCTCTGATCCCATTGACCTCTCCCAAATCCCATTTTTTTGGGATACAGGAGTTTCTCTCCCACCTTCCATGGTCTCGGTGAGGCGATTGGCCACCCTACAGTATCTCTGATCCCATTCCCCTCTCCCAAATCCCGTTTTTCTGAGTTCCTCTCCCACCTTCCATGGTCTCAGTGAGGCAATCAGCCACCCTACAGTATCTCTGATCCCATTCACCATTCCCCTTTCCCAGATCCCATTTTTATGAGTTCCTTCCCACCTTCCATGGTCTCAGTGAGGCGATCGGCCACCCTACAGTATCTCCGATCCCATTCCCCATTCAGCACTCCCAGATCCCATTGTTTTGGGATGAAGGTGCCTCATTCCCACCTTCCATGGTCTCGGTGAGGCGATCAGCCACCCTACAGCATCTCTGATCCCATTGACCATTCATCACTCTCAAACCCCATTTTTTGAGTTCCTCTCCCACCTTCCATGGTCTTGGTGAGGCGATCGGCCACCCTGGCCATGGCAGCACTCATGGGAAGGTGCCCATGGAGCAGAGACTCCCCAGTATCTCTGGTCCCATTCCCCTCTCCCAAATCCCATTTTTTTGAGTTTCTCTCGCACCTTCCATGGTCTTGGTGAGGCAATTGGCCACCCTACAGCATCTCTGATCCCATTGACCATTCCCCTCTTCCAGATCCCATTTTCCTGAGTTTCTCTCCCACCTTCCATGGTCTCGGTGAGGCGATCGGCCACCCTACAGTACCTCTGATCCCACTGACCATTCCCCACTCCCAAATCCCATTGTTTTGGGGATGAAGGAGTTTCTCTCCCACCTTCCATGGTCTCGGTGAGGCGATCGGCCACCCTACAGTATCTCTGATCCCACTGACCATTCACCACTCCTAAATCCCATTTTTTTGTGAATGGTGAATTAGGAAGGTGCCATCTTTGTGAATGGTGAATTAGGAAGGTGCCTATCTCTGATCCCATTCCCCACTCCCAGATCCCGTTTTCCTGAGTTCCTCTCGCACCTTCCATGGTCTC